GACCCAATCAAAAACTTCTATGTTGGGCTCTGTGTAACGTAGGTGTGTATTTGTCAGAATAGTCAAGAGTCACGCCTGTTTCTTACGCGCGGGTCCGCTGGAGAAAGGCATTTGCCTTTCTGTCTGCGCCAAGTGTGCCGCAAGCCTGCGTTTGAGTGAAGGTCTCGGCCGTTAGATCGCCCCCTGGGGGCTGGCTGCAGTACAAGTCATAAAGCCCGCCTCCTCCGTGTTAATGAAGGAGACTTGAGCCCAAATAAAAAAATTAATTACACTTGCAATAAAATGTCCCGAAAGATGGTTCTGGTCAATTAAGGCACTGATTATTGTGCTGAAATAGGTGCAGATCCTCATTTTTGTAAACAGTTTGTTTTTAGCAGTAATTTAATGCTGGGCGTGTCATCGTGATTGACAGCTGTGATTGACAGTTTCTCAAAGCAGCGCGTCTGAGCTTCGGCAGGAGACTGAAGTGTTATTACTCGATTTCTGTGATATTTTACTATGACAAAATGAGTTCAGCAGTAAACTACAGTTTCTGACATACATGATCTGGTGGAACACTGTTTATTCGCTAAGGTCAGGGCTTTTTTTCGGGCTTTATTAGTTTGCTAATACACGCCTAGCCACCCAGATAGCAAAATACAGTGGGGCCAGTTCTTGCCTGCCGGAGACACCCCTCAGACTGACTACCTCTGCTGGACCTACTCCAGATGCCTGGACTCACTGCCTGATTCCAGCCCGAGTCAATTGAGCCAGATGCGGCGGCCGAGCGAGCAGGCGCTGCCGCATGCGAGCCGGAATCAGCCCGCGATGCCGCGAGTAGGTTATGTGCGCTGCTGCCCGGAGCTGGCGCGATTGAATCTTCATTATATAAAACCCTCACATTTTTTAACGTTATTACAACCATTTTTGTTGATATGACAACAAACGCATGCTACTATGTGAACGCAAAGTGTATCACTGAGTTTAACCTTTGAATAAAGATGCAAACAGCATACATAGCAATTATTTAAGTAATTTCAAATATTTACAATTTCTGTGAGAACACGTCGCAAAATACGGATAGGAGAGGGGCCGATCAGGCTGGAGGTTTTGCCCATTTATAACCTGCAATTTTTCGAGTGCATGTCTCAGTGTGTTGTCCCGCGACTGCTCCAGGGGAAAGTCTTTTTTACTGGGAAATTCCCAGCCCTTCCCCCAAGTCAGCCATTGACGTCACCACTTGGGATTTCCCCAGCTGAGCGAAACAACCCTAATGCGGCGTTTTTTTTTCCAAGAAACACCCGCACATACTGTAAGACCCCTAATAATCTATTGAATCCAGGCCAATTAGTTCCAAGAATTAGCGGGTGTTTGAGGTGCAGGTTAACTGCTACCTCTACGCTATGCTTTTTACCCCAGAATTAAATATCTATCGCTGTTAGTGGGTAGTGAATTACATCCCTGTGCACACACCTTACCCTTACCGTGCAGCTTGTTTCCAATGCCGGGTCTTGAAGCAGGCTTTGTTGGATGGAGGTCTGGTTAAAACCCGAATCCACCAAAGCTTGATATGTACCTCCTATAATACTCACAGGTATCCGGTATAGCCTGTCGCGACCGGGGGCGATGATTGGCATGGCGGGGACACGGATCAACGCACACACTTCCTTTGCAGAGCAACTCTTTGGTGCGCTATCCTCGTGCCCGCAGCGCCAATACATCGGCCTAGACCCTCCCACTATACCCCCGGGGCCAGCAGGACCAACCAATTGAACCGGAGAGAGCCCTGGTGCTGTCTGAGAACCAGCCAAGGGTTTAGACTCCGCCCCTCCATCCTGATAGGCGCCCTCCTTTAGCGGATCCGCCAAAGTGCACCGCCGTCTGGGTGCTGGTGTGGGCGGTCTCCGCACTCTGGGCCTGGGAATAGGACGGGGAGAGAGAGAGAGAGACAGAGAAAGAGGGGGAAAAGAGAGAGAGATTATCTCGCCGACCCTGGACTTCACCACCAGGTGATCCTCCGCCAGCTGGATGGCCGTCTCCACATCCTTGGGCCGGTGGCACTGGGGATGCGGGCGATGAACTGCTCCAACACCATAGCATCCATTATCTGAGCGACAGTCCGGCCATCCTGTAGTAGCCATCTGCGGCAGGCATGCAGGCTGCTGGGCGAACACAAAAGACCGGTTGGAGATTAGCTGGAGAATGGCTCGCTTCAGGTCGTTAAACTCCAGGAGATTTGGATCGGTAATTGCTGTGTGGCGAGTTGGGCTTTGCCCAACAGCAGCAGGATGATTCTTACTGACCATTCGGCCTGTAGCCAACCATACGCCTCCACCATCTACTCAAAGAGGTACAAGAACGCTTCCGGGTCGTCATGCGACGCCATTTTGGAAAAAGTGATGCGAGGGTCGGCGGCAGATATCAGAGTGGGCCGGAACTCCTGGGTCAGCAGACTCCGGATTCGCTCGTGGTCCTCCCGCAGGGCCTCCATAAGGACCTGGAATTGTTGTTCTTGGACGTTCTTCATTTCCACCAGCGAATCATGCTGTTGTTGGTGGAGGACCGTGAGGGCCTGGATGGCTTCCGTAAATAGCAACATTGACGGAGTGATCATTCTGGCAGCAAAGTTTCTTCTTCTTCCTGGGTTTTAGCACCACTGTAGTAAAGTTCGTTGTTGTGGGAAGAAGAAGACAGGGTCGGCGATCCAGGTGAACAAAAATTTTTATTATATTTTAAATTGCACCACACGTGAGGCTGTGTGTGTGTGCTATCTCTCCTCTCCTGACTGCTCCTCTCGTTCTCCTTAAGAAGGGAGTCTCTCCGGCCCAATCAATAGAATAAAAAGGTGTTATTTATTATTTCTGATTGGCCTGCTGATTAGCCGCCGGGCTCTGAGCATGCTCTCTCCCCTCATTGGGTGTTCAATCATGCTTATCTCTCCACAGCAACATACAGACAGTGCAAATACAATGAAAGTGCAAAATACAACATCATACTCCCTAAAAAACAGGACAATGTAAAATTGACAGCAATATGTACAATGAATAGGTGTCCACATAGTTTTGGGCAGTATTGTTTCAAGTATGGATTGGTTAAAGTGCAGTGCATGCTACATTTTGATGGTGTGCAGTAAGGGTATGGAAGAGTCTGTGTGGGGTGGGTTAAGTGTTCATCAGCCTGATGGGAAGAAGCTTTTCTTCAGTCGGCTTGTGCGTGACTGGATGCTGCGGAACCATCTGCCTGAGGGTAGCAGAGAGAAAAGTCTATGGCTTGGGTGGCTGGAGTTTCTGATAATTCTCTTGGCTTTCTTCATACACCACCTGGTGTAAATGTCCTGAAGGGAGGGAAGCTCACCTCCTACTACGTGTCCAGCAGTTCGCACAATCCTATGTTGTCCTTTGCGATTGCTGCTGGTGCTATTTCCATACCAGGTGGTAATACAGCCAGACAGGATGCTCTCCACAGTGCAGGTGTAGAATAATGTCTGCCGGACAGAAAGTCTAGGATCCAGTTGCACAGAAAGCTGTGTAGATCCAGATCCTGGAGCTTCAACACCTGCTTGGCAGGCACTATGGTGTTAAATGCTGAGCTGTAGTCCCTAAACAGCATTCTTACATATGTGTTTTTTTTTCCAGGTAAGACAGAGCAGTGTGCAAGGTGAAAGCAATTGCATAATCTATGAAAGTAATTCAGTGGCAAAACTCGAGAGCTTGCAAAATCTAAATTTGAGCACTTGTGATAATAATATTTGTATGTGTAGGTTGAAATGTACATTCACAGGCCTGATGTGATTAGCTGAATCCCTCGATTTGCACACACACACACACACACACACACACACACACACACAATAATTAACACACTTGCGTTTTGAATTCGAAGTTGCAGATTAATAGTTGTGTATTTGTAAAATGTCATTCACAAATACAAATGACAGACACGCGTGTCCACGGCAAATTTGATTGCATCTTCACTATACAACCATAGGTCTGCACTCACAACCTCTCAGATTCGTCAGTTCAACTAAAACTCTCTCGCGTTCTGACTTTTGCTACACATCTCCTGTTATCCCTGTAGTAAAACTCATCTGTGCACTCACAGATGCAGAGGCGCGAGCAGCCGGGGCGGGAGAGGGGCGGGGCAGGTGTAAAGCTGTTTGATTGGCTGATGCCTGACCAATGAACAATGCCAGCTGCCTAAAGGACTGAGGTGCAAAAGAATAATTTCCAACTATCATTTTATTATTTAGGGTTTATTTCAACTATTTTCTGAAAGGATTTTTGTTAAATATCATTAATTCTACTGAAATGTACATACCAGTGAAAAAGCAGCAAAGCCGGTTTATCGGCTAGAGCCAGCCAATGAGATGGGATGTTTCTGTACGTCAGGACACAGGGTAGCTCACGTTGTTGGAGGCCTCGAGCAATCAGAGAGTAAATTATGAATTTTAATAATTGTCTATATGTTCAATACTGTTAGCTAAGTTAAGGACTGTGTTAGTGCTTTTGTAGTTTTTTATATATATATGAAATGGTTATGAGTTATGTAGGAGCTGCTTTCAATGATGTTATATGGTTGTAAAGATACGATTCAACCCACATGAAATGAGAAGTTGTAATAGTATTTATAGTAAATAATATTACGTTTTTAAACCATACTATAGTAAATTGTATTATCCTGTATGTACAGCAGTATCTACAACTTTGTTAATAAATGCAACAGCATACTATAGTATTAACTAGCATGAACTTTAATAAATTGCAGTATACTTAGACACACACACAAACACACACACACATTAATAAAATTTACAGTGCAAATAAGTGCTGTGCAAATGTCTAGTTACTTGTATTTAAATATTTCAGTCAGGGCCCGAGAGAGTTGTAGTCGAACTGATGAATCTGTGAGGATGTGAGTGCTGACATGTGGTTGTAGAGCGAAGATGCAATCAAATTTGCCGTGCACACGTGTGTCTGTCATTTTGTATTTCTAAATGACATTTTGGCAAATATACAACTATTAATCTGCAACTTCGAATTCAAAACACAAGTGTATTGATTAGTGTGTGTGTGTGTGCGCAAATCGAGGGATTCAGCTGTTCACATCAGAGCTGTGAGTGTACATTTCAACCTACACATACAAATATTATTATCACAAGTGCTCATATTTAGATTTGTAAGCTCTCGAGATTTGCTACAGAATTACTTTCATAATAATCAGCGGAGCGGTTATTCCTGTATGCAAATTGCAGAGGGTCGGTGTGAGCAACTGGACGCCAGTCATTCAAGCATGTGGTTTTAGCTGATTTCAGTATGGGCACAATAGTAGCTGTCTTAAAGCATGTGGGAACCACAAACCAAGAGACAGAGAGGTTAAAGATGTCCCTGTGCCCACTAGCTGGTGTGCGCATGCTTTAAGTACACGTCCAGGGGTGCCATCTGGGCCCATAGCTTTCCGGATGTTCACATGACGGAAAGATCTCCTTACTTTCGCTACAGAAACAGAGAGTGTGCTGGCGGTTTCAGTTTCGGCCACGGAAGCGGGCAGTGTGTCCCGTTTAAGTTTCTGCCTGTAAGCATGCAAGAGCAGAACAGAAGAGTGATCTGATTTGCCAAACGGTGGGCAGGGGAGGGATTTGTATGCGTCACGGAATGGGTAATAGCAATGGTCTCGAATGCGATCACCACGTGTGTTTGTGGTGATGTGTTGTTAGTATTTTGGAGCGCTTTTCCTGAGATTGGCGTTGTTAAAGTCCCCTGTAACAATAAACGCTGGCTCCGGGTGTGTGGTTTTCTGCTCGTTTATGCTCCCGTACAGTTCCATGAGCGCCTGCTCTGTGTTGGCTTGAGGGGGGGATGTAGACAGCTGTAATTATAACAGCTATGAACTCCCTCGGTAGCCAGTATGGCCGATACCGAAGCATAAGATATTCCAGATCAGGAGAACAAAATGATCTAACTTGGTGTATTGTTTTTAAAGAAACACACACCTCCTCCTTTGCTTTTTCCTGTGATTTCTTTCGTTCTATGCACGCGGTGGATGGAGAACCCTAAAAGTTCAACAGCTGTGTCTGGTACCTCCACAGATAGCCAGGTTTCTGTATGGAAGACAATGCAGTAGTTTCTTGTTTCCCGTTGTAAGGAAATGCGCGCCCGTAGCTCGCACAGTTTGTTTTCCAGTGACTGACCATTAGCCAGCAGAGTGGTGGGGAGCAGAGGTCGAAATCCACGGCGTCTCAGTCTGACGAGGACGCCGGCTCTCTTCCCTCTTTTCCGGCTGTGTTTCTTTCTTTGCTTCGGTTGTGTGACCCAGACAAAAGGCTCTGTTGCTGTGTTTGTAAACAGAGCGTCGTTGAAGAACTCAAAGTCTGGTCTTCGACGTGCAACGAGGGAGCCAATTTCCCGAAGTGTGTGTCTTTTGTAGGTAATGAGAGTGTGTACATCCAGCACGAAAAACAACAAAAATACAAGTAAAACACACAAAACAAAACAAGGTTTGCTAGGAGCTCGCAACATGGCGGCCATGCTCGGCGCCAACTTAATGACGTATATTTCATGTCATGGTCAGCCTTATAATCTTAAAGTGAATAAAATCAGCTCTTATGTAATCAATTTAGAGATTAGGCTATAGCGAATCATTCAAACACTAGCTCTAAAGTGACGTTGGTGAATTAGTAATGGCTTCTGCTGTTTTGACATCAGCTGCAGATGTGAATAAATGGTGGAAGAAAGCAGTTCCTAATAAAAAGGAGTTTTTAGGAGGGTTAGGAGGCCATGAATGACAGAGATCAGTGGGCAGATTTGGCCAGAATGCAGAGGTTAAACCCCAGCTCTTTTTCGATGGACATACTGGGATTTTTTACGACCACAGAGAGTCGGGATCTCGGTTTAAAGTCTCATCCAAAGGCGGACAAGACGGATAATAATGGCAGGATCAGATTGAGTGCAATTGTGTGCATTAATAGTGCAAAAGGTATTATTAATTGTTTCTTCGGTGCACCACGATGTAGATGGGAACAATTTGATATCGGTTCAGTAATAGATCATAACCGGTTATTACGTACTGATGTAATTTATCTTCTATGCACGATTTCGCAGTAGAATACAATGGCGAAGGAGGTGCCGGCGAGTAAATAAAACACTCCTTCTACTTAAAAGGTAGATAATTATGCACAGTTCAACTGCTTGAAATTTTGCTTGTAAGTATTTCACAACTAGGGAGATTTGCTGTAAACATCGATCTCTGCCGCTCTCTTACTTTGGACATTTGACCCGCTGACGTGTTTGTGAGGTAACTTTCCTTTCCTCTTAGCTGTTAAAGCAACACGTGTGGATCCAGACATGAGCATGCCTGAGTTGCAAGTTTTCTCCACTGTGTCTATTATGGATTATCTGTAATAACTGAGTATTATGCGTATATAATCTGTAACCGCTGCTGAGTGTGAATATTCTGTGTTGTGAGTGCCTGGGGTCTTTCAGGATGGAGGCAGCTCTTTTGTGGACTTTGCGATGGTAGAAAGTCTGCAGAGAAGGCAGCAGGGTCCTGATGATCTTCTCTGCGCTCCTCACCACTCTCTGCAGAAGTTTGCACTCTTTTATAGTTGTGTTGCCCTACCACACAGTTATACAGGATGCTCTTAACCACACAGTTGTAGATAATGCTGAGGATCTTAAAGGACAGATCAAGCTTCCTCAGCTTCCTTAAGTAGTACAGCCGTTGTTGTGCTTTCTTGATCAGCTGGGTGGTGTTTAGTGTCCAAGTGAGGTCCTCACTTATGTGCAACCCTAGGTATTTAAAATTGCTCACTCTTTCCACTTCAAGTTCATGGATAAACATTGGCTGATGAGTTCCACTCCCCATGTCCACTATCATCTCCTTATGCCGAGTTCAGACTGCTTGATTTTCACAGTAGTTGTATCACAGATGTTTTCACACTGCATGACTGTCTGGGCTACTGTTTTGTCCCTGCTTTGTTTACACTGCAAGATGGATCGGCGACAGGGGCTTTCACATTGGGTGACTTTACAATTGGAAGAATCGCCACCAACTTTGTCCAAACTACGTCTTACAACCAAACACGTCTCACAACCACGTAGTATATCTTTTGTTATTAACTATATAATGAGAAAGAAGCCTTTATGGGGTAGAAAATGTACATATTTGCTCACCTGGGTTTGAAGGAAATAAGCAATTTCTCCTCAACTTTCTTTTTTTATTTTCTGTATGAAACGTCAAACAGACACGGGTGCTTCAGTCAAAATTCATTTCACACAGCATGATTTAAATTGCCGACAGTTCCAGATATTTAGCACGCCAAATATCTCACAGGCATCGGCAACAAATCAGCGATTCTCTCAGCTCGTGTCTTTGATAGTTCATACTGTGTGATTGGCACTCACGTGCACGAGCACCGATTTGCCTGTGATTTCAGGTATTTGTCAGTGATTTCTAAAAACCTGTCGGTGAGTTGAAATCAGGGCAAAATTATGAACTCGGCATTAGTCTTGTCCACATAGTGGGTGAGGTTATTGTCCTCACACCATGTCACTAGACTGGCCACCTCCCTGCTGTGAGCTGCATCATCTCTCCCAGTGAAACATCCATTCTATCACTGAAGTGTCATCCGCAAACTTAATGATGGTGTTGTTCTTGTGGGATGCGACACAGCCTAATATAGGTTACTTTTTCTTCCAGATAAGGATTCCAAATGTCTTCCATTTAAGAATTATGGAGGCCACTGTGCTCTTAGAAACTTTAAGTGCAGCAGTAATTTTTTGTAACCTTGGCCAGATCTGTGTCTTGCCACAATTCTGTCTTTGAGCTCTTCAGGCAGTTCCTTTGACCTCATGATTCTCATCTGCTCTGACATGCATTGTGAGCTGTAAGGTCTTAAATAGACGGGTGTGTGGCTTTCCTATTTAAGTCCAATCAGTATAATCAACATACAGCTGGTCTCAAATAAAGTGGTAAAACTATCTCAAGGAAGATCAGAATAAATTAACAGCACTTGAGTTAAATATAAGAGTGTCACAGCAAAGGGTCTGAAGACCATGTGATATTTCTTTTTTTTTTATTATAAATTTACAAAAATGTAAACAATTCTGTGTGAATATGGGGTGCTGTGTTTACATTAATAAGATAATAAATGAACTTAAATGAATTTAGCAAATGGCTGCAACAACAAAGAGTGAACATTTTATAGGGGTGTCACGATTTCGATTTTTAATCGAAATCGATCGAAATTTATGGTCAATTTCGATTATCGAATCAAAAAATAGAATCGTCGATGCTGCCACGCCCCCATGTCACGTCAGCTTGGCTTGCCAAGTGGGAAAAAACCGGCTTGTTGAAGTGCTTGTTAAACTGCAGAAGCAGGAGACCCGTCGACAGAACTTAAACCCTCTCCTCTTTCAATGAAGTTGCCGGTGTGTAAGCATTTTGGATTTCCAGTGAGTTATGTTGACAACGTTCGTGTTGTCAACAAAAAAAACCCCACAGTTTTGCAAGCTCTGCTATGTACGTATTACGTACAGTTCGTCCTATAGACAACACCGGCATCGCGATCCTCCGCCCGCCCCCGTTGCAAATCTGCTCACGAAAAGTACACACTCAGGCCCTGTTTACACTGTCTTTGTTTTTAAATGGCATTTTAGAACGACAACGATTTAACATCCACAGTGGCGTGTAGCATTTCTAAACAGCCCTCCTTCCTCTCTACCTCTGAAAATGCACATCACGTGACCACACAGACACAGATGCACACACAGCTGGTCCAGGCAGTCAGAGCACTGCTTTAATCTTTCACTCACTTGTACTTAGTCATTTTAGCGAACACCTCAGATACTGTTGGCTGGTTCCTGTTGGTTGTGCGTCTTTTTTACCGACGCCATTATAACGACACAGATCACTGCCTATTCACGAGTCCCGCAGAAAAAAGTGATTGACAGGTGGTAATTATGTGTGTAACTTGCCTTTATTCATTTACTGTATGATTTGTTTATGGGTAAAACAATGACCATGCAGGTCAGGTAGTTTAAACGGTAGGCTACAAATAATTAATTGGTCATTAATTAATTAATTATTGATAATTGAAAATTGAATCGAATTGTGCCTGTAGAATTGAAAATGTAATCGAATTGAGGATTTGGAGGATCGTGACACCCTTAACATTTTATGATTAATTAAATTAACATTTCAATGGTGTCATAAACATAATGTGTATTTATAGAAGATACATTAACGTAATAGTCCAAAAAGTAACCAATTATGATATTATTTTACTTAATATTAAATAATTTTTTAATAATGGATTTCAATTAACAATATGTGTTCTTTTTTCACTTTTACTGATATTAATGAAACAGAAACACTGGCTAATTTAGGCTCTGTCCACACCAACAAGAGTATTTTTTAAAACAACACTTTTTTCTATGCAGTTTTGCTGTTTGTTCACACAAAAATGCAGTGTCAGGTGACTGAAAGTACAACTTTCTAAAAAAACTCCAACCAAAGCATTTTTTCCAAAACTCTAGGTACATTGTGGTCGTGTGAATGCTACAACCGGAGTTTTAGCTGTTTTCTCTTCTTTGATTGGCCAACACGGCTGAGTTCACTCCAAACACGGAAGACCTGAATGAGGCAAATTCTGCACATTTGCGGCAAATGTATTGTGTATTCCGCATTGTACAACCGTGGGATGGTAATCTGCCTGTATACTTACCTTTACATTGACTTAAATGCTATTCACTCCCAAAATATACTTAATTGCCCGTTTATTATAAACTATAATAAAGTGTTGTTATTGCCTTTTTATGTGGAAGAATTATTATTTTTTTTTTATGAAAGCAGGGAAAACTCTCACACAATAATTACGATAACTCCTTAGTGATACTTGATAATTATCAAAACTTCTCAAAATATATAGCCAGCAATGATAATTTCAGTTCGTTAAAACATCTCCATCTGAAAAGATTTTTTTTTACAATTAAGTTGCAAGAAACGTAATTGCTGCATCAATCAGTTGTTCAAGTTTTGTTCAGATGGTAATGTGCTGTCATGTACCGTTTGTGTTTGGTTTACCAGCTGCAATATCAATATTATCAGTTCACTGTTCTTAAATCTGATCTCAGAGTATATAGTTCTAGTATCTGAATAACTCTGGAAATTATATATTACTATAAGGCATGTTAAAAATTAAATAATGTCAACTCTCAAGTTGCCACCAAAACTGTTTGTCAAAGCTACATACTGGCCTGGCTACTATTCAGCAAGAGGAATGGCTTAAAATCTCTCTGGCCACTGTACAGGAATTGTATCTGTCATTATGATGATGAAATAATGCTGCATTGGCAGCAAAGGGACCCTTCCAGCTGCAACCCATCACTGGGAAACCTCTATACACACTCATTCACACATACTGTACACTACTGACAATTTAGTCTATCTACAAATTCACCTATACTACATGTTTTTGAACTTCTGTGGGAAACCAGAGAACCAGTGATCTTCTTGCTGTGAGGCAAATGTGCTACCGACTGCGCAGGCTAAAATATTATTATCAAGTCTGATTTTTGTAGCCGCTTTATGGATACTGTTGCTTTGCTGATTACTCACTCTGATCTCAACCAGGTCCTCCACAAAGTTGAAAAGCAGAGGATTAATCTCCTTCAGTCTGAGCACAGGCCTGGGCATCATTAAAGCAAGATAACGCATTGAGGAACGACACACCTAAACACATCAAAACAAACAAGTCAGAGTCTTAAGTTACTGGTCATTATAGAGCAAGCAAGTAACCATAATTTCTAAAGTTGCAATATAAAACTGTCACTGCAGCTAATAATTGTTAAATGTAAAAAATTTAAAATTGCTAAATAAGACAAAAAAAAAAGTCTGCAATCAGCATTGAAAATATACTAGATCTTGTTACCATACCAGCCATGACAGGCTTGTTAGTCCCTAAAAACAACTACTCAGTAGGTACTACATTTGAATTTGCATTCACTACACAACTGTTAGTAAAGTATTGTAACGTAAAGTATTAAAGTATTGTAAAGTTTTGTATAGTGTGAAAGTGAGTAGATTATCTGGGTACTTCTCTTAAAATGTTTTTTTTATGAATTTGGACATACCACTCGGATGGCATACTATTTTTAACGTACTATCGGGTATGGAAGTAAGTGATTTTAGACACAGCACTTGTGTGCTTAATCTTGTTTACCTTTACTTCGTTTTCTCTATTCCCATTATATTAGGTTTATTTCCCCCTTGTCTATGCCGGCATCTCATTGTGTGCTTGTTTAGTCTATCTTGTTGGAGCTTGAAATAAGTATTTAGCATTGTCTTGTTTTGGTTTCTTTTATCTCATATAGTCATTTTTTTAATTATCTCAAGATCCTTTCCCTTTTGAATTGAGTTTTTTTGTATTTTTTTTTTCAGCAAGGTTGCAAAGTTTTTTTCTATTTCAAATATTTTATGCCATTTTGTGATCTTAAGTCCCAGTCTAGTACTAGTCCTATGTTTTTTTTTGTTTTTTTTGCATTTATATTTGCTACTTCTAAGCAAACTTATATGTGTTCTGTTATAAAGCAATAAAAACTCTTTAAAACATTTAGAATTGTATTTACTACGGTGGACAATAATAATTTTAGCCCATGAAAAAAAAAATATTCAATGGCTAAAATTATTATTGTCCATCATGTTATATTTATATATAAATAAATACATAAAACATAAAAATAAAAATAAAAATCACACAGATTTATGCCAAACATCCTTCTGTCAGCAGGTGGCACTATGGCCATTACTCAATATTGGCATGTAGATGTTTACGTGGATATTCAAGCAGATTGGACATTGTTTGACTTATAAGTTATAAGTTAGTTATAAGTACTTCATCTTCCACTGCGAAACACTAAAGTATGTCAGTCCACCATGGACATGCCCTTCGACAGAAACCCTGGATCTTCACGATTCATTTTACTAGAGCCTTCAAATAACAACACACTAATTTGGTGCTGATATGATGAAATATGTAGGAGGAGTTGTTACAGTGTAAAACCTGTTATTTCCTGTTGCCAGCAGGTAGCGCTATGACTAAAACAGAATATTGGCAAGCAAACATGTTCAAATCAGGACTCTTATGAAACGTTTGAATTTTGAGGCAGATCACACAATGCATGCCTGAGTTATAACAACTTCCTGTTTCATGGCAAAAAATGAAACAGGAAAAAGTTTGTGAGGCTGCCACGGACACGTCCTTGAAAGAAAACTTTGGATCTTCGCAATTTAACGCCACCAAGGTCTTTAGACAAATACATTTTGGTGTTGATCTGATAAAATCCCTTGTAGGATTTGGTTAAAAATACAATGCCTGTAAGTTGCAAAAACTTCCCAACTTTTCACAGAGGAAGTTAAAATTATCCTTCAGTTTCAGTTTTTGCTTCTAAAGATTTTTTTTAGGTATTGGCATGGTTGATGTGCGTGCCATTTTTTGTACTTAAGTGTGAAACATAGCTCGGGGGCCACTTCATCAAATGTTTTAGGTAGCATTGTCTAATCATATTGCTACTCCCACTTCTGAAATCCGCATCAAACATTAATTTTCACTACTTTTGGTGTGTGCAAAGTTTCATGAGTTTTCAACCATGTTTAGTCCCTAAAGTGCATCTGTGCCCTTTTTTCTTAAAGTGGTCCTTGAGCTACGTTTCACTCACACGTACAAATTTGCACACACATCAAGCATGCCAATACCTACAAAAAATTTCTTGGAGCAAAAAATGAAACCCAACAGAATAACCTCCTCTGTCAAAAAAGTTTTAGCAAATTCCAGGCATGTTTTAAAGAACTCCTTTTAGGGATTTTACCAGATCAACACCAAAACTGGCTATTTTTATCTAAAGGCTTGGGTGAAAATTTTAGCGAAGAGTATTTGTAGAAGGGCGTGTCCGTGGCGTCGCCATAAACTTTGATGTTTCACCATGAAACAGGAAGTTGTTGTAACTTGTAACTCAGGCGTTCATTGTCTGTTCGGCCTCAAAATTCACAATTTTGATAATAGTCCTGACCTGAACATGTCAATATTCAGGTTTAGTCATAGCACCCCTTGCTGGCAACAGGAAATTATATGTTTTACACTCTAACTCCTCCGACAAATTCATATGATCAAATCCATGTTCCGTTAGTTTAATCCAAATGTCTATGTAATGTTAAATTGCGAAGATCTAGAGTTTTCATCGAAGCGTGTGTCTTGGTGGATTGACAAAGTTCAGTGTTTCACCACAAAAGAGAAAATACAAATTTGAAAAAAAATATATGTTTTCCGGTTGGGTTTGAAATTTCGCTCCAAGAGACTTCTTTGTAGGAATTGACCTGCTTGATGTGTGTGCCAATTTTCATGTGTTTGTGAATCATAGCTTGGGGTCACTTCGTCAAAGTGCATAGGTGGCGCTGTCGAGCCATTTTGCCACAGTCACTACTGAAACCTATTACAAACAGAAACTTTCACTAGCTCTGGTGTGTGTGCAAAGTTCCATGAGTTTTCATACGTGTTTAGACCCTCAAAAATGCGATTCATGCCAGATAAAAAAAAATTAAAATAATAATAATAATAATAATAATAATAATTAAAGCTGCAAGCAGCATTGAAAGGGACCTTGAACTCAGGCTCACCGCCTCCTAGTGGCCTTAGGACGACAGAGAACAGTGGACAATAATATTTTAAAGTGATAACTATAAAAAAAATCTTGAAAAAAATCAAAGATTTATGCCAAACTGCCTTCTGTCAGCAGGTGGCACTATGGCTATAACTCAATATTAGCATGTAGATGTCATCAGGAGAGTAATCTTATTGAAAATGTGAATTTTTAGGTCACACATTGTGTGGCTGAGTTACATTTACATTTAGTAATTTAGCAGACGCTTTAATAAATACTTCCTCCTCCATAGCGAAACACTGAATTTGTCAGTGCGTCATGGACAAAAATTCTAGATCTTCACAATTTAACATCACAAAGGCCTTTGAATTAAACTAAAGGAACATGCACTTGATCTGATAAAATTTATAAAACATGTAATTTTCGGTTACCATCAGGTGGCAATATAAAAATGTAAGGCCGCCACAAATACGCTCTTCAAACTCTAAATCTTCAGAATTCAAAATCTGCAAGGTGACAATACCCAATTTTGGTGCCGATCTAATGAAATCCCTCCATAAGAGGTTGGTAAAATAAAATGTTTGTATGTGTTTTTCCTCCAGAAAAAGTAAAAAATATTTGACTTTCTGTTGGGTTTGAGATTACAGTCTGTGAGGTTGACAAACGAGGAAGAGTCGTAGTGTATGGAGGCAAATCAATGCCAAAATTATTTAAATGCAGCAGTGATGTTTACGCACGAGATGTGGGCCGCGAGCAGATTACAGGCCTACACGCGAGGTAAAACTACAGCTTAGCGCGCACAGGGGATCTTCATACACTATATCATACAAGTTCTCTCCGCTCGCTCGCTGAATCTTCTCTCTGCTCAAGCAAAACTTTTTGGATTTTTGTCAGTCCTGGGGCGGGTTTACTTGTTATCTCTAATGCTATTGGTTACTCGCCCTTTCCGGAAGTTCGCCGGGATTGGATGAAGGAAGATCCACATTTGTTCAGTATGATGTGGAAAGCTAGTCTCTACATTAAATAAAATTATATAGGAGATATATCTTATCATAATGTGAAACTATAATAGACTTACTTTCTTAGTAATAATAGATGATGACTTACTTCAACAATGAGATATTCCTTGTAATAATGAATCTCCTAATGACTATTTCTGTCATGACTAAGTCATATAATGACATATCAAAATAATGAGATATATTCTTGTAACAAACTTTATTACAGTAAAACTAGGGAGAGAAAGAGAGAGTGAGTTATACCATGTGTTAATAGATCTCTTTATTAAACAGAAAATGGGGAAAAATAGACATGAGCAAATAATTCAGGACTATTTCTAACTTTAAAAGTGCGCGCATGTGTGTGTGTACACTATTTACAGATGTGCTGTCTTGTTGTATTTCTTTAAATGTGTGGGTTGAAAACGAAATAAATTATAGGTATTCTAATAGAATATTTGATGTCTCCATTTGTCACATTTTTTAACTATTTGAATAAGTTTAGCACCTACATTTAAACTGAAATCGAGCCAAACTTGTTAACAGGTACAAAAATATTTTCTTTTTCTTTTTTCTCAGACTTATTGGCCTTGGCTCATTTTCTATGAAGAACATAAGTCAGAATAAAAATTGGATGGACAGTCGTATACAAAATAGGCTATTCATGCATGAAGTGTATGAGGTGCATAGGTTTGTAGTAAATAAATTGCCATTAGTCTGTTATTCCACTATACAGTTGAAGTCAGAATTATTAGCCTCCTTGAATAATTAGCCCCAATTAAATTTATTTTGCCTAATTTTTATTTAACGGGGCAAAGATTTTTCTCAACACATTAATAACTGAATTATTTTATCTTTGTCATGATGACAGTAAATAATATGTAACTATATATTTTTCAAGACACTTCTATACAGCTTAAAGTGACATTTAAAGGCTTAACTAGGTTAATCAGGTAAACTAGGCAGGTTAGAGTACTTAGGCAAGTAATTGTATAATGATGGTTTGTTCTGTTGACTATCGAAACAAAAAATAGCTCAAATGGGCTGATCATTTTGACATAAAAATGGGTTTAGAAAA